AGCAAATACAACCATTGTCTGGGCCTTTCAATCCATCAACTCCCTTTCCTAAAAAGAAATTCATGCGGAACTCGATCGCCTGACAAAAAGTAAAAAGCCTCACCAGGAGGAGTATGTTGAACGATTTTTGTGCCACCGAAAATTACGTGAAGACGGCTATCCGCATCAATATCAAAATATCTATCCTTTTCCAGATCTTCTATAGGCCTCTAAAATGATCGCCACACATGAAGAACCTGCAAAGAGACGTAAATAGTTACCTAAACAGGGTCATCTGTTGTTTGCTTAGGACGCAAACGGGGCCGTATTTGGACCTCCAGACAACGGAAACTAACCTTCATTTGTGGTACGGACTCTCCAGTGAGCATGGATTCATCAACAATACATGGTCCCCGTAATAGGATCATGTCACATGGAACAGCTTGATCATCAGATGAACGACCTGAATATTTCGAACGATAAAACCTGAAGAGCTAAAATAACAGCAACATAAAGCTAGTAAAGCTAAACCAGTCCAAATAAAAGCACGAGAGGGAAAAAGTAGGACAATCGAATGCTAAACGAAGCTAAAGGAAAACATATAAATGTTCCTTGCAAATCGAATCTATCAAATGTAACAAGCAATCTCTTCTGAAGCAAAAACCTAGAGGTTTACCAAAATGATAACCTAGCGAGGCAGTTTAACCTCCGCGATTAGGTCCCGCTTTCTTGCTCATAAAGGGGCAAAGAACTATGTGCAAAGATTGTCCGATCTCTACCGGCAATGCTCTTCAGTAGAACATCCTTGAAGAAGGAGTTTGCAGATCAGAAGTCGCTGCTTCAGTCTAAGATTTTACCCTTAACACTGAATTCCTGCGGTAACCAGGACACTTTATCGTTGTTGAGTTCTCAATGAGGGAAGGAGTTCGTTTTAACACGCTAGGATAGGGGACTGGGAGAGGAACTTCTGGGAAACATTGGAGATTTTACCATTATGGAGAGCACTACTCCTCGCGCAACAAAATCTTTCTAGAAATTTGGAGGTAAGGAAGGTGAAGCTGGTAAAAGGAATGCTCTAAGATAGAAGGAGAGTAGTACTCGCCATGACACGCCCTCGGTGCAGCTCTTCTAGTCTAATATTTTGCTCCCAGAGATGGGGTCGTATTCAACACGCTAACAAAGGGATCGTATTCGACTGTGGCAAAGATCTGGAAAAGAGGACCTGGACGAGTTTGGAGATTTCTCACCTGTTGCGAACTGAAATTGTTCTGAGAATAGACAACAACAGAAACGAGTGGCGGTTCTTTCTGATTATAGTATACCCAGGTTCAAGGTTTCAAAGCCTATACTTTTTATTAAAGAGAAGAAGAACTTAAAGAGAATCACGTCTTCAAGAACATACCGATTGAGACAATATCGCCTGAAACAAGCTCATCAGACTTCACTTTTATCCATTTTTGGTTCCGGTACGTCTAAAAATGAACATTGACCCTGATCCACACAGTACTGGAGCATCTTTTTTTACAGACCTGAATCAAAAAAGGCTTGTTTCCCATGTTTCTGATTTCTTGCATGTTTTTTAGTTGAGCTTTCACCAGGGTAGCCTCGAACGTCATTTAGCATGAACAGAGTGAAAAGCGAATAGTACCACATATCTTCAAGACACCAAAGCCCAACGCAAAACACCTGAACAAATGTAACCAACCATTACCAAATCAGGAATTTCTTCTGGCGAGAATGTTAAAAAAAACTAACTGGCTTTCGCCAACATAACCTAAAGCGAACACTAATCACTGTAAATGTACCATAAGTACCTGGAAAAACGAAGAATGGAGCTGTTGCCCGCTCTTTAAACAGATCCCAAAATTGTGGTATGACCATTTCTGTCCTGAAAATGTAGCGCTATCCCTCATAATAAAGCTGATAGTGTTTGCTTAATGAGCGCTAGCGTAGCTCAGGTATTCGGTCCTGTACATTTTAGGCGAAAAATGACGTGCCACTGACGTCACACAACACGTTAATGACGCCCCTGACTCTACAACGAATGTTTGCATGTTTTGTGACGTCAATAACACGTCATATTCGAGCAGGTATAATTACATGCCATCTCTTGATAAGTGACAGACCTATGCTACACCTGCGCCACTGAATGTGTCCGCTACACTGACAAACCACAGCAATCAGTAAAAGAACAAATAAAAAGACTAACTGGTTATCTCCTAGGAGGTACTTTACCTCCCCCAACTGGTCATCGCTCTCAATTCCGCGAGACTGCTGATAATACCTCATCGGTCTTCGCGCATCAAATACCACTGTACTAAAAGTGTTTGTAGATTCATCCAAAGTGTAGTGAACTTTCTGGA